CGGCTTTCTCGGAAATCAGACAGGAAGAAAAAATGGCAAAGTATTTCTAGAATATATCGTTCGCTTCAGCAGCCGTAATTCGTAAGGTAAGTTGTTCCTTATATCGATCGTCTGTAAACAGTCCTTATTGCAGAATGTGTCGGTGGGAAATCAAAATTGAAAGAGACGTTTTAGTAATTCGAATTATGCGCAGTTTAAATCATTTCTATGTAAACATCGGGCCATACCAAAGGCTTTCAAGCAAATGCAAAGCTATAATATTTACAAAGAACACCTGATTGTGACACTTCAGTTTCAGTTGCACTTCACACGTTCTTGCTGTTTAAATAGTAAAATTTCTCAATAACGTGCAAATAATGTTAACTGCTTTTGTACAAGGTGTCAACGATATTGAGTTATAAAGAAAGAAACGGTAGTGTAGAATCGCTAGCTCAGCGATGATGGCCTAGTACTTCGAAAACAGTTTTAAATTTCGTTTCCTCCCTCGGCAAACTCACCAAATGTTGCCTCGCAATACCCACGTGAGTATGACGTAATCTTTTATTCTTAATATTGATTATAGTAATTTTAATTACTACTTGTATATAACTCAAAATATGACATGAAAATAATTATGATCTAGTGCTCCTTGCAATGAAGCCAAGTGACACTAAATAACTTGAGTACTAAAACGTAAGTAAGACCCCACATTTGGGTAGTGACGTCATGGTCTTGTATTTACAACTCGTGGTCCGACATTGGGTGATTCAGTGAGCAGCTGTTCGTTGTTTGTTCAAGAGGACCTAACAGGTGAGCAAGCTTTAATATGATTTCTAGTTTGAAAGGGCAATTAGTGCTCTGGTTTGCTTTATAAATTGCGTTTAAAGCAGCAGTTTTAAATTTTGCGGACCTTTTATTTTAAAATTTATTCGAGAGATTTTGTCAAGCAGAATATTTTTTTTGCTGCTCGATTTACATTGAGACAGCCCAAAACTCCCGTGAGGAATGCAACGAATTTGCGGACCTTTTTGTTTTGAAGACTATCATTATGCCTCTCAAGACACTCTTTGTCCTGTGACACTCTCTCATTAGATCTTTGTATTTTATTCAAGTTTATATTTTTATACCTCTGATACATTCCGCCCCATTCTTGCGCTTTTCACACATTTTACTTTACACCAATTATTGTTTCTTACGTATATTATTCGCGAAACATTTTTCTTATCCCTGATGACACTGTTGCTCGGAAGTTAATTATTGTTTATAATTTCAGCAGTCAAAGGCCTCATTTGAACTATCTTTTTCTTTCTAACGTTTTGATGCATTTGAATTTTCCATGAAACATAAGTACTAACATGCTCATATTTACCAACAAAGCTTCAAGCCATGTTGTTATTGTTTAATAATTAAAAAGTGAAAGCCTAAAGATACGATGTGCCAAAGTTGTTGTTTTGAAGTAGGGTGCCATCCTTTTCCGGTAGCGGAATCCATTTTAAACCTCTAAAATTATGAAAAAAATATATCGCGAAGATCTGAATAGGCACATTTCACAAAAGATAAACGAATTTGCCTCGTTGGCACTTGCCGGAAGGTACCCCTAGTAATAACCTGGCTCCAAATGCTTTCTCAAAAATGGTTCTGATTAGCAATAATTATATTCAGACTTTACATCATTTTAGAGAAATTAATTGTAAATGCCGAGAGTAGGAATGTGTTCGAATAACTTGAATTACTTGCAGAATAAGACATTACGTCTTTACCACATTCGACGCACGTATACGAGATGTAAAATGTAAAAATAAAAATGTTCTAGAAGTATAAAAATCCTCGCAATATATTTCGCTCTTCGAGCCTCGTCATTGACGGTAAACTGGTCCTTAAGGCAAGGTGATAAAGACGTAACCGAAAGAACAAAACAATATATACAGGGTACCCCAAAAGTTCGTTTCTCTACTTTATAAGTCCGTATTTCAGTACGATTGCACTTGGTAAGCAAATCATTTAAACAAAAGTTGTCTTTCAATCTAATTCACTAATATCATACTTGTTGTTCCATCTTTTGACTCGAATATTCGATTTGTGTACTTCCGCGCCACAGGTGCGCGTGCGCGAGTATATTTTCCAGCCATATATTTTTTTGTATTTTATAGTCCGAATTGCTTGAATTCCTTCCTTGTATTTTGTGAATATCAAGAAAGATGAACCCCCTTTTCGCAAAAACGTTCCGTTACGTGAGAGGGTAAGCATGTATACTTCGATTTGGTGGCTTATCTGTTGTAGAAACTGCTAAAAACTGGGAAAATCCGAATGTTGGGTGGTTAAATGATCATGGAGTAATGAAGGTTTTGAAAGTAAGAAACGAAGGGGAAGACCAAGAGTCCCGAATAAAGCAGCAAAAATAGTTTTAAAGAAGGCTAGATACAAAATAGGAGACTCGACCAGGAAGCTCTCACATAAGCATGCCAAGTCCAGCACGGGTTCGTGAAAAGCGAACGAATGTTTTAATTGGAGGCCCCTGAGATGGCAAAACTAAAAAAAAGCCTCTACTCAATCTGCCAAGTAACGCTCAGCTCCTCTCAAATTTCTGAGGAAGTACAAAAGCCTTGCTGTAGAAGGGGACCGGGGTGATTATCTTTCGTAGATGAATGCCCAAAATATTTTTTTTTCAGCTGCCGAAAGTGAACAAACATTGTTTGGGGTTCAGCTGGCTCCTGTGCACCAGGTGATAAAAAAGTTCAAAATGGATCATCTGTGGGTGTACACGCCGTGTCCCACACCATGCTGCAACGGCTACAGAATGTGATAAAAAAAAAAAAAAAACAAAAACAAAAAGGGCATGCCAGTTACTGAAATTCTGAACATATGTTCTTGATAGAGAAATAAACATCTTCTAGAAATTTCATGTAAAAATAAGTTTTGATCAAAAATTATAGTGCATGAAATTAGAGAAACGAACTTGTGGGACACCCTGTATATATATATTTTTAACAAATTTGCTAAAAATTTTTGTAAAATATATCGATATTTTTGTTTTATTCTTCTGTTTACTTGTTCATCGCCTTGCCGTAAGGAACAGTTTGCTGTTTTATGATTTTCTTCAAGTTATTATTGTACTGAACCAGGTCTACAACTAGGCGATCCGGCACCACTCAAAGGTTTGTCGCTGTAGACTTGCTGATATTTTATATTTTGGTAAAAACACAGAGCACTGGGTTACATATGTATGCCTTGAGCACCCCTGCATTTTACCATGATTGAACTCCCCGTTTATATATAGCTCCCAGATTAGCCACGGTTGTCAGCACGTGATACTCTTTGAGCTAAGGTTTTTATGTTACTGATCAACTAAAGGTGCTTTATCAATATCATATGATGTTGCTTCACAAAAATTTATTTTGGGAACTTTAAATTTTGTCTGAATATTTAAGTCCAGGTATCAACTTGTCGGTGCCATTTGTCAATGACAATTTTGTTCGAGCACGCGCAAGAGGCAATTGTAAACGTACAGGCTATATATTCTACTTCTGTAGTCTCAAGGTCCCCTAATATTTTAAGAAGCATTCAAACTTTTGACTCAGAAAGTTTAATTCACTGCTTTAAGATTACGAGACCTTGAGACTAGAGTTATTGATATCAAGTATTAAACTCCAAGGTCAAGGATGAGCAATGCCAGGATCTTTTAAGCTACGTCTGGAAATTTGCTTTACAGTCAAACCAGGTCAAGCGTTCCCGTCGCTAACGAACTAATGAATTCATTCACGGAAAAATGATTTCGTTTGTTGATTCAATAATCCATTCATAAAATGAACAATCCAATATTCATATTTAGCCTCGATTCCATAATCGAATGTTGATTCGATTACTGTTTTTTTTGAAACTACACTTTCCACAAGTTGACCTCAAATTTTGTTTTTCCTCTTTTTTTTTTCTGAGAGTCGAGTGCTGGCGAGTTCTGAAGTTCAAACCCAAACAAACTGTTACATGTACGCCAGTTTGCTGGCAGTAATCAGTGCAACAGACCTAGGCCTGACCTCTTAGAAAACACAACGGTCAAACTAAGGTCAGTGTATGTGCGGTGATTGCTGGTTTCGATCCTCGGCCTTTGTCAGTTTCTCATAGTTTCTTTGCGTTTGCGGTCTGTCTATTCTAGTTGTTATTTTGATTAAAGGCAATGAAAAACGCAATCGTAAACGGCAGGAAAAAAGGAAGCAAATACGATTGAACACAACAGACAAGAATAAAGAACAGGTAGATTTTGTTCATAAACCAAATCAACATATGATTATTGAATCGAGGTCCAATTTGACTGTTGGATTATTCATTTTATGAATGGATTATTGAATCAACAAACGAAATCATTTTTCCATTAATGAATTCATTAGTTTGTTAGCGACGGGAACGCTTGACCTGGTTTGACTGTAAGCCTCTTTTTGAAAATGAGGGCAACAGAAAAGTGTTTGATTTGGAAGAAAATAACAGACCAATTTCGATATATTAAAAATAAAGTTCATAATTGGTTCTGAGTCTTACGAGAACAAAACAAAAAAAATGTATTATTCATTGTGGCTGAGCATCAAGTAAAATGCGATTTCGTCGGCGCATGCCTACTAAGTAATTTTGTGATTTTTTTTTTACTGCCCTCTTTAGAACGACACTGTCAAAAAACTCGTAAACATAACGGAAACTATAGCATTTAAGCCTCTTTATCCTGTTATATCTTTTATCGTCCCGCAAAGCGGGCGCGTGAAATTAGGAAGTTTCATTTCGCAGTCGTGCAAGAACGGCTAAGAAATGTGGAAAAAGAGCGTGATGCACGTGTAAAGTTGTTGTTTTGCTAATCTAAACATATCGGTTTATTGTTTTGTCGTTCTCGTTACTGTCGCCGTCGTCGTTGCCATCCAGAAATTTGGCTACCATGGTAACTTGACGTCACACTTCTCCTCTCTATTCAACGCCCTTAATAAGGACACTTCGTTCGTGACAGTCTTTCTATGCCCCCTCAGCCTTCAGAGTGTCCGTATTAACGGGGTTTGACTAGACAAATGTTACAGTGCATGGTTATGTTTACCATTATGATTACTGCTAGCGTTTTCTTCATCTGTTTCATTACACATGGAGTTGATACTACTCTTTATTTGTGAACAGTGCGGTCATTCAGTGGTTGGATTGGTCTGTAGTTGTCGCACATGAGAGGATGATTTCTACCATGTTCACCCTTACGTTTCCTGAACTTGTTAAGCTGAAACACCGAAAAAAAAGTAAAATATATCAAGTAAGGATCATCTGGTTTAAGCTAATTGTTTCTAGCACAATTTGAACTAACATTATCGATGTCTATGACTATGCAACTTAAAAGTAAAGACGCCGGTGTGATAAGAAAATTTGACGTACGATGCATCATAGACTGTTTTAAACACAGTTTTTGGTAGTGCATTGACAATAATTTCAATGTATCCTGCAATGGTCTGCATAGTAGTTAACGCAATACATGCCTAGAATTATCTCCGCGGTCATCGCTATATATTGTGACCCTGACCGGTCTTAATCAGATTCCGTATCTTAAAGTGATTTTACTTGAACCGTGAAACGGATACTAACGAATAATGCAAGAAAGCAAGAGGTAAACAAAAGAAGACAACAGAATTAGTGCAAAATAGTGCGTAGCATTCTTCTACCTTTTACACGGTTCAAGTATAATCACTCTAGTATACTTGTAGAGTGCCATATCCTCTCAGTTGTAAAACTAAGTTATTCAAGTTAGTGAGCATTACATACCTGGCTGGTAGAGGTACGGAGATAGTCTTTAACAACTATCCAGTGTACTGTTTCAAAGCAAGGAGGCGTAGTGAGGGAGCCCTCGTAACTGTAGTAACATTCTAAAGTCAAACTTTTGGGATCCTTATTATCGCCGTGGCCATTGCCGCCATTGCCATTACCATTACCATTGCCATTACCGTTGCCATTACCATCGCCATTACCATTGCCATTACCATTGCCATTACCATTGCCATAACCATTGCCATTACCATTGCCATTACCACCATTGCCATTACCATTGCCATGACCATTGCCATTACCATTGCCATAACCATTGCCATTACCGTTGCCATAACCATTGCCATAACCATTGCCATTACCATTGCCATAACCGTTGCTATTACCGTTGCCATTACCACCATTGCCATTACTATTGCCATGACCATTGCTATTACCATTGCCATAACCATTGCCATTACCTTTGCCATAACCATTGCCATAACCATTGCCATTACCATTGCCATAACCGTTGCCATTACCGTTGCCATTACCATTGCCATTACCGTTTGAACAATGTTGGGGAATCAGATCCATGAGATAAATTCCATCGGTCTTGTCAACAGTTTGAGTTTTACCTGTAAAATAGGGTGACATTAAATGGTTTCCTTAAACGTTTAACTTTCAAGCAGCTGAGCCACACATCGTTCTGCGAGTTAAAGGTTTCAGCTGCCTCGAACCTCGTCAGGCACGCTCTACCGCCGGGATACGTAATCGAGATCGATTGGAGTGATTTTAGTTCCGCGCAAGGGATCATGGGGAAAGCGAAGTAGAAAACTCCGACCTTTCCCAGAGTCTTTTACGCCAGCACTTAACGTGCGTTCCCATAGACCTTGATCGCTCGCAGCCGCGTTTTCTACAAACAAGGCAGAGATCTGACGTGTTCTCAAGTCTTGTTCAAAAATGTTTTTGGCAAATTTGAGCTCTTTAAGGTGACTCGACCCAGTTTTTTTGGGGGGTACCATCCTACTTTGAAGCTCTCTGGTATCCCCACCTTTACTTTTATCGTAAGTCTAACACATAGAATGGATAATATATAGATCAATCTACAATATAACATAAAATTTTTGGCGATCGGAGTAAATGTCACGTTGTTATAATGCCACGCCCCTTTGAGGTCTGAGTCGAAAATCGGCTGTTACCGGCATTTTTTTGTGAAAATCTTTCGGCTACACGTAGTGCGCATTAGTGCCTTGCGCTGAACAGAGTTTCACCAAAATCGCAAAGACCCAATTCGAGAAATTCAGTGGTTTCCAAATTTAGGTCATAATTTATGCGAAAATGATAAGCAAACTTTACACGGATTATATATAATAAACTATGAGATTCATCCCTTTATTTTGGGCATCGTTATAACAGATGGGTCCTTGCAAGTCAGCAAAACGCTTTAGGGCCTTGTAAATGCGCGCGATTTCGAGCAAAGCAAACATATAGAAATTATAGTTTTCGCTATTTGTTGACGTTTGTCAGCGTTTAAGAGTCCTTCTCACGAAAAAAGCATTTTCTGAAAAATTCGTCGTTTTTTTTCCTTCAAATTTTTTCAGGGCCACAATTGATTAACTAACTACCCGGACTCTGAATTTCATGGTCATTGAAAAACTGTGACATTATCTTCTATAAGCCCAAAATTGAGTAAACATTGAAGATTTTTAGCGTTTTGGCTGAGTTTGTGCTTTGGGAGTTGTCTATTGTTTCTAGTCTGTCATGATACAGCATTCTTGTTCAGCACGCGTGCAATGACCGCGCTTGGCTGACTTCCGAATGCTCACCGAGATATTATAATTTTGGTACAGTGAGACAGGCCATCGCGTGATACATAGAGGTTTAACTAACAATTTTTAAGCAATTCTCGTGCTTCTTGTGTCTTTGCAAAAAAATCAAGAAGTGCTACACACTAAGTCTACTTACAATTACAAAAATATCATTTTTTCATAGGTTTAATGCAAGCCAATAATTAAACCAACTTCGTGACGGGAATATCTCGTTGAGCATTCGGAAGTCAGTCAAGCGTGGTCATTGCACGCGTGCTGAACAAGAATGCTGTATAATGACAGACTAGAAACAATAGACAACTCCCAAAGCACAAACTCAGCCAAAACGCTAAAAATCTTCAATGTTTACTCAAGTTTGAGCTTATAGAAGATAATGTTACAGTTTTTCAATGACCATGAAATTCAGAGTCCGGGTAGTTAGTTAATCAATTGTGGCCCTGAAAAAATTTGAAGGAAAAAAAACTACGAATTTTTAAGAAAATGCTTTTTTCGTGAGAAGGACTCTTAAACGCTGACAAACGTCAACAAATAGCGAAAACTATAATTTCTATATGTTTGCTTTGCTCGAAATCGCGCGCATTTACAAGGCCCTAAAGCGTTTTGCTGACTTGCAAGGACCCATCTGTTATAACGATGCCCAAAATAAAGGGATGAATCTCTTGGTTTATTAGATATAATCCGTGTAAAGTTTGCTTATCATTTTCGCATAAATTATGACCTAAATTTGGAAACCACTGAATTTCTCGAATTGGGTCTTTGCGATTTTGGTGAAACTCTGTTCAGCGCAAGGCACTAATGCGCACTACGTGTAGCCGAGAGATTCTCACAAAAACGTGCCGGCAACAGCCGATTTTCGACTCAGACCTCAAAGGGGCGTGGCATTATAACCACGTGACATTTACTCCGATCGCCAAAAATTTTATGTCATATTGTAGATTGATCTATATGTTATCCATTCTATGTGTTAGACTTACGATAAAAGTAAAGGTGGGGATACCAGAGAGCTTCAAAGTAGGATGGTACCCCCCCATAAAAACTGGGTCGAGTCACCTTAAAGTTTCCCAAAAGCAGCTCAATAATTTTCATTTGTTAGTTCACTTTATTACTATAGTTTAATTATTGGCATATTTTAGTAATTTTTTAACATGGTAAAATAACAAGATCTAACTAAAATTATACCAAACTAAAATTAAATTATATCATGTGAGCAACGAGAGCAACGACATCCTCCCTTACTGAGCAGTGACATCAGCAGATAAACCCTTTATATCCCAGGGCCTAACCAACATCATCTTCAATTTTACTTAAGTAATATTAATGCACAAACAAGAGGAAATGTCATAATCACTGAAGGAAAAATTAGATTTACACAGATTTGCCCTCGGCAAATATAGCGCAAAAAAGTCCAACTAGGAGGGAATCAAAGGCAAAGATGGTAATAAAAATACCTCATTTGCATCCCAATTGACATGGGTTGTAAATTTGAGGGCAAATGAGGTATTTAACATCTCTGCTCTTGATTTAACCGTAAATTGCACTTTGTTCATGCACCATATTTGCACTGAGTAAATTTGGTGTAAAATAAATTTTTGGGGTAGTGAATTAATAAAATGATTGCCAAACAGAAAGTGCGTTGATCTTTTTTTCAAATCTCTCGACCTATTCTTTAAGGAAATGCATGAAGATCGGTCTGGATAATTTGTCCGTGGATATTGGAACTTAAAGGATAAAATGACTGCTGATAAACTGTGCAAGTGTAGGAAGAAGAAGGCGGGCGTCGCCGATTGCCAGTAAACAGAGAATAAAAGCGAGAAGGGAAAGTAAGGATTTGTTCACATGTTCTTCGTTTTTAACCTTTTTTAAGTATTCTGATATACCTACTAACTTCGAGGATGTATTGTGTCAGAGTTGCTAACTTTCCAAACATTTTGTTTCCTTTGGAGGGCGCCTGTAAATAATTCAATGGACCGAACTTTATGTGATTTGCAACCTTTTATTTATCGCCCTTCTACTTCTACATTTTTCGTAGATGCAGCCAAGGAAGCTGAAATATATAGCTCTTATTAGCCGAGTTTTCGGTCCGTACTGTAAATTACGAACGGGTTTTTTCATCGATTTATGGCCCAAGCACGGAGCGCGCGGGCCGCCGTCGATGGAAAAACGAGGATCCGTAATTTACAGTACGGACCGAAAAAACGAGGCTAATAAGATGTTTATTATACGGCTTCTTCGGGTTTGGGGGACCGGAAACAAAAGTGCAGGACGCACGATTTGACAGTCATTTGACAGGCGTCAAAAAAGAAAGTTTTTATTGGCGCACGAAAACAATAGCACATAACAAAGGCTTTCCGAGGAACTAAAAACAAATTCGCCATGTTGAAAAAGTTTCTTCTGTCAAAACTAAGAGCACTGTAAGTTTTAGCCCTTTAATGTAACCCTGGAGTATTTTGGAAACCGGACACTGTCTGTCTAGAAGTCGTTTCCGTCTTTCCTCCGTTTGTCCTTGTAAACAAAACACTGCAAAAGGCAAAAAAGCTTTTCAAGGTAATTTTGTTGTCATTGTCGAAGGATTCGCTCGTTTATTGTTTTTGGGAAAACCTCTCTTTCTGCCAGTTCATTCTCGTCTTCACTTGTGATCTGCGTTAAAATTTTCAAACACTGAGTAGCATTCTCTTCCTCGGTGAGGTTACGATTTAGTTTCTACATCAGCTTCGTTCTCATTAAAACAAAGCTAGGTAAAAAGTTGGAAAGGCAAGTCAACATCCTGGTCCTCAGGGTTTACAGACATATTTTAAAGTTGATTCGGTCAAAACTAAGAGCACTGTTAGTATTCATTCGTCAATGTGACGCTGGAGTCTTTTGAAAACTGGACATTGTGTCTGGCTCGAACTTGCCTCTAACTTTCGTTGGACTTTGAAAAAACACTGCAAGTGGTAAAGAAGCTTGTCAAGATGATCGGGTGCAGGTAAGTTTGTTATCATATTTGCCGAACGAATTACTCTCTTTCCCTTAGGTAAAACATCTCGAATCTCTACCAGTTGATTTTCGTCTTCTTAACTGAATACTGCGATAACATTTTCAAACACTAAATAGAATCCTCTTGGGTAAGATTACGAGTTAGTTTCTTCATCGCCTTTGTTTACAAATAAACACAGTGTAAAATGTTGAAGGCCGAAGTCAACATCCAAGTCCTCAAGGTTGACAGGCGTCTATAACTTTATTTAAACCTTTTTTCCGAGGTAAATAGATTTAGAGCTCCGAAATGAGTATTTTCTTTAGAAATTATGGTCCGTATAGCAAGTTACGGACCGCAAATTGACCAATCGCATGGCAAAACAGACTCAGCCATATAATAAAATTCGTTATTGCCAATTTATTTAATTGTCTTTTTGAACAATTAAATATCCATTCTTCCGTAGATCAATTTTTAGCGGCAGGCATATTCGGTGAAAAGACCTGGAGCTAGAAAGTCTCTTTACCCACTACATTTTTTTTGTTAATTTATAAGGACACAATAAAGGTATTCTTGTATAAATTGACAAACAGCAATTTTAATTTTTAACCATGAAGTATTATGATTTTTTTTTTCGGAGGGTCATATAAATCGCATTTTGTTGTCAAAAAAATTGGCTCCTTGAAATAATTTTTATTTTGACGCTAACTTATTCAACTAAAGAAACGCAAAACTGCGTCGCGATTTGTTCACATATTTGTTATTGCTAGGGAATAAGGAAAAGTAACCAGAGAAGTATACAGGGTGTACCTTAATCCAAAGGGCTACGACTGCTAGCTCTTGTCCAGGGCTGTCAAATACCATATGAAGCTGAGGAAAAGAGCAAAAGCTCACAGTTATTCACAATGAGTTTATTCCAGTAACGGGACGCGTATAGAGACTACGAGGGATTCCATTCAAATTAAAACCTCTGGAAGGTCATGCTTCACTCATATTTTCGCATTTTAGCGTGTCACCCTTTGCGAAAATAATGTCTTGCAAACAAAAACTAACGTAGCTCATCTGGCCAATCACATTGCAGACGTAGACATGCTAACTGGTCAATCAGAAGTGGAAGCAAAAGCACGTGTTCGGCGCCAGGCAAAATAAAACCTTTCTTTTTAAGTCACAAGACAATTGGTTCTTGCACGTAGATAAGTATGTGCCGCACCCAGTGGCTGGCGGGGAAGGGGCGGAGGGCACTTCCTAGTAATAGGCTAATGGGGATGTGCCGCTGGATGGGGTCGCATTTTTACCACTGGATTGACTATCATGAAGGGATTGCATTTTCAACAGAGTTACTCGCACATTTTCGAGATTTGGAAGGGGAGGGGGGGTAAGAATAACCCAGTAATTGCGGATTTCAAAAACGTGACGATCTTTATTACATTAAGTGGACCAAATGTGCCAATTCATTTCAGGAGGACCTCGATAGAAGGCTTTATACGGTAGATGCATAAACAGAAAAAACTTTGGAGTATGATGAAGGCGATTTAATATAGGTTCTTGTGTTATTTTCAAATTCTTTGTTCTTGTTTTTCCCTTGAATTCATTACCCATTTTTGGGTTTGAGCTTTCAATAGGGTATAAATGTTCGTTTGTCGTATCCTTAAGCAGTGTCAGGGTTTCCAAAGTTTATGGGAGTGGGAGCCTGAGAGAATTATGATAAAAATAGTTTTTTTTACTTTTAATCACCATTTTTTAACAATTTTCTTGTGGGCAACATTTGTTTCAAGTAGATCAAACGTCCCATTAAGAGACGGAATCCTAAGGAAATACCTGGCTGCGAAATATCCATTGTCATCCTGGGTATTACCAACGAGGCAACTGAGCTAAGAAGGAGGGTTGCCTCGAAGGCAGAATCATAACGCCGCGCAATGTAGGCAAAAGCTGCATTTTTGACCACATTTGGGAGTAAGGAAGACCCCATATTTGGGTAGTGACGTCATGGGCTTGTATTTACAACTCGTGGTCCGAAATTTGCCTAGTCCCTGTACGGCGTCTTGTCAGGCTCTCTCGGTCAATGCATTTCGGTGTCGTATCCGAGTCGAACGGCCGGGAGACGCCTAGACAATCTCGGAGTGCGTATGCGTGAGCATTTTTGAAAAGTTCACACGGTCAACTGAAATTATCTATAAATAACTTTGCGCGTGAATATCCTTCGCAAAAGATCGGCACTATTGGCACTATTACAAAAATAACTAACCTAGTTCGTGTTATAGAAGAACAAGAATATTACTTTGAATCGGAAAGAATACTACTGTATAACGTGCAAGTAATTTCTCTTTTAGTTCATCTTCAAATGAACATTAAAATGATAGTCCTTATTCATAAAAAGATTTGAAACAGTATTTTGCTGACATTCTACCAAATTTAGGGACCAAATTCAACAGCTTGTCCGATTAGTTTGATAGGCTTCCAAATCCAAAAATTAAATTACATAAAGTATTTCGAAGTGAAATGATAACGAGAAATTTATAGGAGCAAGCGAAAATAGAGAAACGAAAGATAGCTTGTCATATCCAAGAATAAATATAAACTTATTTCTTTTTAGTTTACCTTCCGATTCTTGATCAAATAATTTTTTTTGCGACGCTGTTTTGTTTAGCCTACAAATAGTTTTTGAGATGAAATAAAGTTCAAATTAGTTTAATGAGATAAATGAAAAAGAAAGGCCAAACGACTTTCAACAATGAAAACGTGCATAGAATAATATACACCTAATTGCAATAAGGTTGTCATAGAAAAAAGCAAAAAGCAAATAGCAAAAAGCAAAAAGTTAAATAGGAATTAATTAGCATGTAATTATCATAGCTTGCAACATTCACAACACACACGCTTATAGATGAATATTAATCACGTAATATTAGAGCAATCATTTGCATCAGTTTCTTGGTGTCATTCTAATGCAATTCTAGGCTGATTCATCCAGCGAATTTCAAACGTGCTTGGATTACAAAGCACAAAGAAATAATGGCTCCATTTTTTTTCAATAAATATAGCCTGGGGTAAACGCACGTTTTAGATTAGTGCTAAACAGAAAAGCCAGTCTGTGTATGGTTTGCAGTGCACAACACCATCTGATCACAGTTTTCAAGCAACAAGTCAGGGGCGTAGGCAGGACTTTTCATTGCGGAGAGGGTAAGGGGTCCTCCGCCAGTTCCTCACCTGAGCCACAAACCAAGCTTCGTTTGTCAGGACATAATAGGTTGGCGACTGAGAGTGCGACAACTGAGACATAACATTGCTTGCGTCAATTTATCTTTTTCTTTTTCGAATTGTGCGACTTCTGTTGATGGAGAATGTTGGCTCTAAAATGACTATGGCGCCGGTCTATCTTACAGCGCGGAATTACAGAATTATCTGTTGCTATTGTGAATGAATTCTTAAATACTTGTTAAATACTGAATTAAAATACGCAAATGTAAATCACATGGCTAATTTATTCCTATTTGGCTTTTTGCTTTCTGCTTTTTTCTATGACAACGTTATTGCAATTAGGTGTATATATATTTAGCCACAGCTAAAAGCGAAGCTTCCATTGATAAATTTATAACTTAAATCAAACAATAATTTTGTATTCCGCAAATCAGTTAACGTAAGGGCACATTCATGTGACTTTTGAGGGAAAAGCTAAGTGATTTTGGAGTGAAACAAATTTTGTATCGAGTTGATATAGCCTTATATGTACACCCAAAAAATAGTCTTCGGTCACATTGAAGAGCAATGATGGCTCTTGATCACAGTAGATAAGGCGTACAAAACATGCGTTCGACAAGTTTACAAATTCTTGCCAGTAATTCTGGGTGCGTGCAAACCAATCTTTTATTTTTTTTTTTATACACCACATCTGAGGAGAAAGAGTACTATGAGGCGTTGTTTTTGTCATACAGACCTCGTACAAAATGCAGTATTTCACAATTTTTCAAGGCAAATTGCATTCATTCAATATTCCATAGAGGCACGCGTGGACTTTTAATTAGCGAAACCGTTCAAAAAATTTCCAAAATCACCTATACGGCCAGCCGGTTCTAACTTTTGACAAGCGCCAAATTTGCGAAGAAATTTTAAAAGAGTTACGCTTCAACGTGATAAAGAATTTATTGAGTCTATTTTCTATTAACGGTTTTATAACGATGTGTAATCTTAATAAAAAGCGTTTGATGCGCTTGGCATTTTGAGTACTACTGCGAGCGATGTTTATGAACGCCTGAAAACAAACGGCAAAGCGATGAAAATTACACTTTTGAGACTACCAAATATCAATAAAGAAAAATAATTCGATAGAACATTTACAGAGACAACAATTTTCATTCACGAAAACAAATGAGTATTTAAGTGTGTCTAAGAATCCTCAAGTCTTTACTAGTAAGCTTAAAATTTATGTTTTAAGCCGCCGGTTTCCCGGTGTTGGCTGTTTTAAAAGATGAACTCACGAAAAGAAAATCGTTCAAGGCTTTCTTTCTACAGCCAAAATTATAACTAAATATTCCTCGGAACGGTTTTTCTTTCTATTTAAGGTGAATTAATATCGACTAAAGGCTTTTTAAAGTTCTGTAAGCTTAAGCTTATATCAAACCTCATACTAGGTCAGATCAGTGTCTCAGTCAAATCGTAATACAAACGTGCATAAACTAGCTTCATAAACTGCGCCGCTGGACTACACGAAATTAGATTTTAATACAATAATTACTCAGGGTTACCATATTTCGAGACGCAGCTCCTGAAAGCTATCAAGTTAGGCAAGGATCGCTTGAGCCTTTATAATTCTCGCATGCATCCAGCAAGGTGAAAAACAAAAACGATGCCATCCGAAATCGGATTATCGGCTTTGACGAGCGACGCATTTTTCAACCAAAAACCCAATAAACAAACCAGCCATGAATAAGAGAACACTCTTGATTGCAGCTGTATTTCATTTTGTACATCCAGTGGAAAAAGACAGTTAAAAACATCACAAGTTGACTCAAAACTCTGTCAGCTTCAGCTGTCAAATTAAACAACTTTCAAGATGCTGCATAAATTTTACGCATGAAGTCACCTGTCAAATTTAAACCAATCAGAGCATAAAAATTGGACGTGGAGTGTGACCAACACGTGACCATGGTAAGAAAAGGTCTTCCCCGCCTGTATTTTAAAAAAACTGGCTGAATGTTTGCGTCTGAAGTCAGTTTGAAATCAAAATCGTAATAGTGCGGGGCGATACTGACATAAACACAACATATTTGATATGAATTTAAAACAAAAGTAAACGTGAGCCTGCGATCATTTGAAAACGAGTAAATTGTCAGCGGATAAAAAATACTCAGCGGAAAAAATAGTCGACCTCGATGGGTCGATACCTGAGCCCGCGATTCGGTCAGGTGATAGTGGTCAGCGGATACCCTGTTTTGACAGCTGTCAATTGATGACAACATTGATTTGCAATCAGCTTTCTCCTGGGCTCCCAAAGTAGCTAGAAAGTGTGAGAGTAAACATTGGTATGCCTGCGGTGCGGACGGACGATCGGTCGCTCGGTCGGTCGGTTACGTGATTACCAAATTTTCTGGGTTGGGTAGATTTCCTTAGCTATGGGGCTCTGCCCACGCGCGCGCTTCGCGTGGAGCTCCGCTCCGTGGCTGCTGGACATCTTTCATCAGCGCGGAAAAGTTATTGACAGCTCGCCCGCTTCCAAAAACTCCACCCCAAGTGAGACAAAATGTCTCACTTCTCCGAGTTTGTCTAGGCCTCAAAAACGTTCTCGGACCACGTGACCCGAAACGCATTGGCCTCGCATAATAATGAGGCCTAGGGACTAGGCAAATCCACGATTAGGTGATTCAGTG